GAGATTGGACCATGGGATGGACTTATGGGTGTGGAGGCAAGATCTTGAACTTTCAACTGGGTGGGGAAAACAGGGAAGCTTTCAGATTCGGGTTTTCCCAGATGTGCCAACATGGCTCTCTTAATAAATTGGAACTTTCAGCAATACTTTGCCTTGATTTACTTTTGGATTCTATTTGGAACCCTGACATCTAACATGGTAGCATCAAAAATTTGAGGCAAAACGTCCTCTAGTCACACAGGCCAGTCTAACTTAAGATCACCGTCTGGGCCACTTCCACATTGTCTTCCAAGACTCTTAAGCAGACTCAGACCAAACCCCTATCAAATTCTACCTTCTCTTCTTACTGGAGAAGCCATCCAGATGCCACAGGTTTAGAAAGCCACAAGGAGCACATGGTTATAATAATGCTCTCCCCTCTGGTAATCAGAGCCATGTGCTCCCTCCCGTGCTGGAGATTAGAAAGAGAGCCAGGATCCATAAACACTGTTCAGCTCTTTCCACCGTGGATTTATCTAACTCTCTTTGAAAGGCTTCCAAGTTGGCAGGCGCCCCTACCTCTTGTGGCAGCGAGTTCCATTGTTGTCTGGAGCAGGGGTCTCCAACCTTGACAACTTTAAGACTTGGGGACTGCAACTCTCAATTCTGGGAGTTGAAGTCCACAAGCCTTAAAATTTCCACGGTTGGAGATCCCTGGTGTGGAGGACTTCCTATAATTCATCCTGCTGCTTCTCTGCAGTCCGCCTGCCCAGTTGACTTTGCCAGAGTGAAAGAAACGCAGCCATCTTTCCCCACCCCTGCCAAGCCCACTTCTTGAGTGCCCGGGACCTGCCCAAGCTCCTTCTCTTCCTCCTCTCTTCCATCCAGCCTCCCAATGGTTGGTCGTTTACCCATCCACACTTCCCCGAATTGCCCATTGCCCAGTTTCTTGATGAGCTGCAGCGATTCGCGAGGAATCTCCCAGACGTCTTTGGTTTTGACGGACAGGTCTGCCAATTTGGGCATCCCCTTAGGGCACGGCACGGCCAGGCGGCAGCACAATCCTGCGGCTCTCTCTTGCAAAAGAAGGCCCCAAAACCAATGGGGGAAGGGGCAGAAGAGCAAGAGACACATCACGGAAGCAGGGAGGAAAAGAGAGAGAAACAAAGGGTGGTAAGATGAGGGCGAGCTGGAAAGGAACAAGAGGAAAATCCTGTTCCACTCAATCCACAGCCCACAGAGAGTCACAAGTCCTTGCAGAAGGCAGCAGGAGGCTGGAGCCTCATTACACATCTGTTGGAGGGTTGATAAAACAGCTGCAGTTATTAGGTTTCCCATTTCCCCCACCCCTTCCCAGTTCTAGGAAAGTCATACCAATAGCACTTATATACTTTGATTTACATACCGTTTCATGGTGCTTTATTGTTCTGACCTAGGTTTCCCAAGATCATGAAGCAAACTCCTGGTCCCGACAAAAAACCCTTTTATTAATTTATTGTGAATTTTTCTCATTCACACCCAGCGAAGTCTTTCAAGGGAGGATTTACAGTCACAGACGTTATCTGGCTTGGAGAGCGGACAGGCCGATATTTGCAGAACTTGGCAAAGAGTCTTAGAGAGTCACGAACCAATTAAGCCAACTTCCCTCCTCTTTTATTTCCTCTGGAAGGGGCCAATCATCGTCCACCTGTGGCCATACTCCCAAGTNTTGAAAGGAGGAAAGAAGGAAAAGGATTTACTAGTAGAATAGAATGAAATACGGTAATATAGTTAATGTGATGTGAAGGAATCAGATCCATACTATTAATTGTGGATAATTAACTAAGTGAAATGTTTACTATGCAAAATTAAATTTGAGGATATGTGTCATTGATAGTAAAACAGAATAATGGATGGAAATGAAATGTTAAATTTGATTAACTTGGAGGAGCAAATCATGAGTTTGTATGTTAAGAAGAAACTAAAGTGAAATTTGAAAATATGGAAAGAAAATAAGATGACTGAAATTCGAAATGGAAAATAGGATGCGAAATGAACTATGCATAAGAGAAGATGTAAAAGGGGAAAATCCAGCCAACATTTTGTTTACAAAAGAAGTAAAAATATATAACAAATTTTTTTTAAAAAAAACCTTGGTTTCGAAACAGAGAGGTTAAGATTCATATTTTGATCTTCAAGTCTAGTCTGAGCCTAAAAGGAACCTTTCTCCAGGGGAGGCTGCCCACCTCGCCCATGTGTGCCCCCTAAAAAAGAAAAATGAAACCCTGGCCCTTTGCCTTACCCATCCACACATCTCCGAAACAGCCCATGCCCAGCTTCTTGTCAAAGTGGATGGACGTGCGCCCGATCTCCCACGCATCTTTAGACAGTCCCAAAGTCTGGGGCCTCAGGGTGGGGCAGATTTTGGTTAGGAGGTAGCAGAGACCGTCATTGTATTCTGTAAGGGGTGGAATGAGGGAGGGTGGAAAGAATGGGATGGAGTGAGATGGGAAAGCAGAATGATGAATGGAGCATGCACGCACCCAGGAGCGGAGGCTGAACTTCAGAGCGGAGGGTGAGAAAGGAGCAGAGCACAGGCGGCAATATTGCTTTCAACCACCAGGTGGCGCCCCCGGCTTACTTTGAAAGCCTCGAGGACCACACTGCATTTCCTGCACTTTGGCAGCAAATGCTGAGCAGAGAATTTGGGGCATGCAGCTGAAGTCTCCACTCTGTATCCTGGCCATCTTTAGACTCAATTACTGAAATCAAATGAAGGCTATTTTCCAAATCCTTTCCAGAATACAGATCTAATGTAGCCATCTTTTCTTCTGGATCTTTGCCACACTTTCTATTATGGGTGGAACTGCCAGCATGGCAGTGGGAGATTGAACCATGTGATGGACTTGTGGGTGTGGGGGGCAAGATCT